GTTTAACTTTCACTCCAGAAGTGAATACTTTTTCAGCATTCTTGAGATATTTTTTTCCCTAGGAAGTTTGGGTATAGAAACTAGTCACCTTGTATGAAATTTCTATCTTCTTTGGTAAATTGCACATGGCAACATTGATATTAAAAATGGATAGATCAGAAAATGCATTAACTGGAAAACAGTTGATAATAATGTGAAGATCAACTTTTATAAGACCTATTAGTTTTTGGACCAAGTTTCAGTAGTAATTATACACCTTTAATAAACATTTGTTGGAAATTTTACTTACTCTTCTCAAAACCATTAAACTGATATGTGGACAGAAAATAACTTGGGGGCTTAGTTGAGAGGGTTAAAAGAATGCCAGATAAACCTCTTTAACTCCCCCTCATCTGGGAACTAACTTACATCAGTGGATACCTGTGAATTATTTTCAACAGAAGCCAGGATTTACTGGGTACATTGAATGCTATACAGCCTTTATAATATCTGAAACTTTTTATTAATGGAATCTTAAAGACTAATTCTAACTAAAGGGTATTATTAATTTAATATTTACCTAAAGGTTTATGTCTTTTTATGGGAGGCTTATGGAATGGTAGTAAAGAAGGACAATTAGAGGTGAGGTAGTAAAATGGTACAGAGCTGAAGAGAACTTTCTGGCTAAGGAGGAGAATTTTAAAATATGGTCTGGTAAATATACTTGAAGGTTGTCCTCCTGTTACTAACATTTTTGTGTTCTGTCATCGACTCCTAAAAAATTTGCTTAGGCAATGAGCTTCTTTGGAGACATGTAATGTGGTAGTTTATCATCATGCTTTCCTTGCTGTAATTAATGATATGCTACTTTTTCTTCTTCTTTGTACTGATTGTTATAAATATATAAATTTGAATTAACTACAGAAACCTTATACCAATACAGTATTTTTAACTAAGTTAAAACATTTTTTTTCCTCTTTTTACCAGTTACCTAATTAAATATAATTGAATTTGAAATTATCAAACTGCCTAAAAAAAAAAGAAAGGAGGGGTCATTTTCCTTTTGCCTTCAATATCTGATGTCTGTAAAGAGAATTTTCAGTAAGAAGTGGCTAAAAAACCATACTATCCTTTCTCACTCACACAGAACCATATGCATGGAGTGTACTGAGCTGCAATAGCAACAATTATGGAGTAATATCAACTCCACGGACTTTCCCTATAATCATAGTAAAAGGCACTCTGGTAACCTAAAACTGACGTGTGGTATAGAGGCATAGTATGAAGGCTATGCTGGTATGTTGTAATGTAGTGAATTTTCACATAAATCTAAAATCTAAGGAGAAACCAACTAATTAAACCAAAATAAAACCAGAAGTATTCCATAGATTTAACTAAATGAACCAGAGTTTTCACTATTCTCAGCACACTCATAACTTTTCTTAGGTTAGTTGTTTGCCATAGAATGTCTGAATAGAAAGGAGTTATATGAAGATAAGCTTTTTTAAGAAAATCATTGTTATTCAGCAGTTTAATCTGAGAAGTATAGCCCTGTATCCCTGGTATGAAAACACATTCAGTGGTCTCTTACATAATCACAGTTCATTTCTTATCTACATCAAGGAATGTTGCTGTCTGTTCTGGTAGCCTAATGATTACTGAAGTGAATTGCTTGGTGACTGTACACTTCCTGATTTGGTGCTCTCATACACACAGAGAATACTTCCACAGTTCAGATCATTTCACTCATGGTGAGTTCCCAAGAAGCAATAAGCAATGAAGTTTTCAAACTAATTTTGTCTTTGACGATGCAGTCATTTGTTACAAAAGAGAGATGCTCTCAAAATCTCATTTTGGGAAATTTACGTCAGTTGTCTGCTTTATACAATATCTATTGAAAAAAGAGGCCATTAGGCTTGTGCATTTTATTTTTTAAGTAACAACTGCAAAGAAAAAACAAACCTAATGCGCAAGATCTTTTTTCCCTTCCTGTTTTTTGATTGCCACTCTCCTTCCTAAATATAGAGAAAATTAGGTTCCAGTTAAGGAATTCTAATGAAATTAGATGAAGCTGGCTGAAACCCGAGAGAAGTAAAGAAAATTTCTTGTGTCCACCTCTCATCCTCTGAAACACAGAATTCCTTTTAATGTGGAAGACAAATATCAACAATTACTTTTTTTTTTTTTAATACAACTTTCTAAACAACTCAATTTAAAAATATTTGTGTGATTGTTTAGGCAGCAGGTAGCAAAGTACCTGCAAACTATTAAAAATCTGCAATCCACATAATATTAAGATTTATTATTCATCTTTAAATGGTAGTGTATTACAAATGTTGTTATGATTAGATATTCTAGCAATATGGTGTATGTTGCATGAACAGATTACAGTGAGGCTTCTTACCTTACAAGTGATTTCCTGCCTAAAATTTTCCTCTGTCCCCAACTTTCTGTCCACCTTTTGGACTCTGCCTTTTTCACACATCTGAGAATTTATTCACTCTCAATTCTCTCCTACTTAAGGTCCTATTAGTGTAGTCTTTTTTACCTTTCCTCTCATTCACCTGTCCAGATGCTGATCCAGCACTTCGGTTTTAATTCTTCTTCTTATTTCATTTAGCCCTCATAAAAGCACATCTCATTTTGTTTCCACAACCAGCCCAGCTTGGAGACATCCAGCTATTCCTGGCCCTGCTCATAGCCTGCTTACAAAAATTCTGTAAAAATTTTGTAGTGGGAAAGTAGGATCATATGGATGTCCAAATCTTATTTACAAGTTTGGGGAGAAAGAGTAGCCAATCATATCTGATGTTGCCAGACAAATACATTTCACAAATAATAATTAAATATATAGGCTAAGGTCATTTTTGTAAATCTACTCAGTCAAATAAGAGTAATTTGACAACTAAAATACTAATAATTTAGTCAAGAGTTAATTTGAGGCAAAGTAAAAATTCTAGTACTTCTGAACAGCAAGGGAAGTTCTGAAGTGAGAAAACATTAGAATAGTTCCTGTCCTAGCAGAAAAAATACCTTAATTGATTTTTCTAAAACATAAAAATTGATACTCTGTGTTCATTTATATTCAAGAGAAGAACTATGAAAAGTATTGATTCATGGCAAACAGCTATTCTTGGTGTACAGAGATGTACTTTATTTTTACTGAATTGTGGTACTTACTATTTGTAGTAGTTTTAATTTAACATTCCGTATAAATCAAAACTTTCTCCTTGGGACATTATAATTCATTCTTTTAGGTGTAGTCTTTCTAAGAGGATTATTTGCAATAGCTGTGAAAAAAAAAATGCTATGATCTGCAGTTAGGCATAAGAAAATGACAAATTTTCTGGTCTTACAGAGGAGGAGAGACTGTTGCATAGCTGGCTTTTCTGTGGATTTCAATTTGGTGTCGTGACATTACTAATACTTAGCTCAGTCCTCTTTAAACTTTTTGAATGATACATAATCAGATATAATCTGACTGATAAAACATTTTGAACAACTTATCTCCAGTTTCTATTCTGCATGTTCCTGTGCATGTGCTTTGGTTTGATCACGTAAGTAGCCTAAAAAGTTAGTGGCATAATAGAGCCTTTTATTTCCCTGCATTGTCACCACTATACTGTATGACATGAATCATGTACGAATGTGACATTTTCTGGTAGGTAAATTGGCTTAAAAATTGTGTGGCACACGTTTAAGGTGTAATGTGTGTTACGTGGGATATCTCCAAACATGTTAAAAACAACTGAACTATTTAAAGGGCTTTTAGAATCTGTATTCCATGGGGAAAAAATATTGAAAGACCAGCAAGGTGACAATTAAAATACTCTTTCCATGTATACACTGTACTATAGAGTGTCAAAAAAAGACACTTACTGGTGGAAGAGTATATAAAAATGTTAAATGTACTTGTATTTTAAAATTGAGAAGACCATAAAATATGGTTTGCTTTTCCTGTCAGCAAAGGTCTGTTGGTGTTTGGGGGTTAATTTCTGTCATCATATGAATAGCTGTGATAGAATAGTTATAGTTCAGGAGTTTTGAGAGGGGGGTGTTTACATCCTTAGTAGAAACACTTTAATTTTCCTTGAAAATAGAGCATTATAGTGTTTTCTTTTTTTTTGAACTCTGCAACTATATTGAATATATATTCATTAATATTAAAAAAATAAAATCCAAACAACCCCCTAAAAATCATGTGGAGTTGTAATCCAGTATGCAAACTATGTGGTATCCACGCAGCCCTGCATGAGTGGTAGTGCTTCATATCTAGTGAAAACATCTTTTGGCTTGTTTGTAATGTAATGACAGTGGTCTTGTTGGAGTGACACAGCTAAGCACAGGTATTGCTTGGATTCTGCTCTGTTTTAGCAGATTAAAACAGTGTCAGTTTTTTATAGCATAAGGTATTTTCTTAGAGACTGTTTTGTCTAACCTATATTCCCCTTCTTCCCAATTCTCTTTCAGATAGCAGTTCTGTGGATGAAAAGGTTTCAAATCACATATTTACTATAGGGATCATGTATTTTGTTGATGTTTGTTTGTGACTTATTTGACTTGTTTGTTTCCTTCATTTTAGCTGTGAAATCTGCATGTTTTTCCCAGCTTTCCACTCTTTTGTTCTCCTTTGTGTATTGCAAATGTGTTGCATTTATAAACAGGATACCCTCACTGTTGTGCTTATCATAATTGCTAACACAGGGGTCTGCTACTGTCAAACATGATATCTGGGATTTTTTCCTCTAATTCTCATCTACACTGCATATGCTATAGGCCTTAAAGGACAGCAATATTTGGGAAGCAATGTCTTATCTTCCCATAGGATCTTCCAGTGTGTTTCACCAAATGCTGATTGCCACCAAAATGTATTCCAAAGCAATAGTTACTCTAGCTTTGGCCTGGAGCTGACCCTGCTAAACATTTTCATATTAGGTGTTATATGTTTGATGCGGTTGAGTTCTGTCCAAGATGTGCTAAGAGCAATGGAATAACTGTATTTTTTTTTATCTTTATTAAAGGCTCGGATAGTAAGTGCAAGTTCCTTGGATACTTCCAAGCTTTATGCAGTCCAGGCATTTAGTGGGTAAGTGCCAATATGACTGAATTTTATTATTTCTATCTGCAAATTAGTGTCATAGTGCTGTGGTTTATTTTTAAGTTTTATTCCTATAAGAAATTGAATTATTTTAAAAAGAAGGTAATCAGTTTCTTTGCGTGTCTTCTACATTTTTAAGTCCGTAATTTTTACAAAATGAATGCACAAATTCAGTTGCACAGGTCAACTGAATGACAAAAGTTTTTACCTCTTTGCATAAGAAATAAATATCCTTTGTAGGAGTGGTTTGGGTTTTTTCTTCATTGTAGTAATATAATA